CAAGACCACTTGGATCCCTGGCTTCAACCCCCTTTCCAGGGCAGTGAGCTGCTCTGTCTTGCTGGTGTTCCAGGTGCCACTGGGGTATGAAAAAAAACTCTTACAGCTAGCTCAGTGTCTGCCCAAAAGGCCGCCCAGCTTTGTGCTTGAAACCCAGGGCACTGGTGAGGTAGGCACCCGAGGGAATCTCCTGGCCTGTGGGTTGCAAAGACAGTCAGAAAAGCATAATATCTGGGCTGGAGTGCACCATTTCTCAAGGCACAGTCCCTCATGGCTTGCCTTGGCTAGGGGAGGGAGTTCCCCGACCCCTTGTGCTCTCTGGGTGAGGCAACTCTCTACCCTGCTTCTGCCCACCCTCTGTGGGCTGCACCCACTGTCTAACCAGTCCCATTGAGATGTGCTGGGTACCTCAGTTGGAAATACAGAAGTCACCCGCCTTCTGCTTTGGTCTCGCTGGGAGCTGCAGACTGGAGCCATTCCCATTTGGCCATCTTGCCTGGAAACCCTCAGAAACCTTTGATGCCACGTTGCCCAATTGCTTATGATGGTCAGTAGATTTTGGGCCCTTTGTGAAGTGAGTAAACAACTACCCACAAAAGGTCATAGCACCTCATTTGCACACTCTGCTTCAAAAGCTGTTTCTCATAGTGAAAAAATGAGAGTTGTTTCTCTGCAGTTTCTTTGGAAGTTGTGACTTCCAATATGTAGATCTGTGCTCATGCCAATGTTTTCTTTCCCCACAAGTTTATTCTTAAATCAGTCATGGTACATAAATGACATCAGTTTTCATGAGAAGAGTCCCATTAGTGCTATTAGAAGTATTCTCCATTTTGCTTCCAGGTCCAAACAATATTTTTGAAACCAGACAAAATCCTGGACAATACATAAGCATTTCAGATACCATAAATACTTTCAAATGCCCCATAGATCTAAAAGATGTTGGAGATTCAGAGGCCATGCACTTTAGTAGTTCTAGAAAGATATTTTTCAAGAGAAACATTATAAATATATATTACATCATCTTGGAGACATTTGGGTAACTTTTTCAATTTGTTATTTTTCCAAAGTTTCTTATGGTTATCTCACAGAAAATGAGAAATAGTTTATATAAATTTCCTCCATTTTCATATGGTCTTCAGCATTATATCTCATTTATGTTTCTGTTAATGTATCTTACCATACCAGCACGTTGCTTCTCTCCCAAAAACTTAATGCCTTAGTCCACAAACATGTATACGTGTACTAGTGCATGTTTGACAGCAATCACACACTTATATCACTGGTCGTGTGATCATTTACTTGAGCAGGAAAGTCTGAAAAGCCTTCACTTACCACAAGGATTTTTGAAGTTGAATGTTTATTCTTAAAAGATTCGAAGACTCTCTTATGAAGGGAACAAAATACTGTGCACATACACATGATATTGGAAAACAACACTATCATGGTCTACTGTAACTGATATGATTCCTCCTCCACCCTCAGCCCCCCCACCCCCCACACTCCTGATAAAAGTTACTTTAAATCACATAGTGGATTCAAAATATTTAAAAATACTTCAAACTGGATTAACATTTACCAAATGCAATTTAACTGTCCTTTAAAGGCTGGACTGCTCATCCATATGTAGGCCCTTTCTAAGGGAATGCTCTGGAGACAGATGGGATCACACACAGTGCCACACCTGCCTTCCTAGGAAGGAGAGAGAGTGTGACCAAAGCCTCCCTCATTAAGGCAGCAAGGGAGTGTGAACAAAGACTCCAGATGACAGACCTTTATTCTGTTTCTTATTCTTCTCTTTTGTGATTTGTCACCTCCTTCCCCAACCTTGGGTTTTGCTAGGATGGACTTCATCTCACACCTTTTGTGACTGAAGTGGGAGAGGAGGATGCAGAAAATCCCAGCTCTTCTTCATTTGCTTCAAAGCAATCAAAGCCTAAGATTGAAGCATGTCTGGAATTGGTTCCTTCCAGTGGGTTCTTGGTCTCGCTGACTTCAAGAATGAAGCCATGGACCCTCGCGTTGAGTGTTACAGTTCTTAAAGATGGTGTGTCCAGAGTTTGTTCCTTCAGATGTTCAGATGTGTCTGGAATTTCTTCCTTCCCGTGAGTTCGTGGTCTTGCTGACTTCGGGAGTGAAGCTGCAGACCTTCACAGTGAGTGTTACAGCTCTTAAAGGTGGCACATCCAGTGTTGTTTGTTCCTCCCAGTGGGTTCCTGGTCTCGCTGGCTTCAGGAGTGAAGCTGCAGGCCTTCTGTTACAGCTCACAAAAGTAGTGTGAGCTGCTGGCTCAGGTGTCCTGCTTTTATTCCCTTATTTTATTCCCTTATTTGGCCCCACCCACATCCTGCTGATTGGTCCATTTTACAGAGAGCTGATTGGTCCATAATACAGATAGCTGATTGGTCCATTTTATAGAGTGCTGATTGGTCCATTTTTACAGAGTGCTGATTGATGCATTTACAAACCTTTAACTAAACACAGAGTGCTGATTGGTCCATTTTTACAGAGTGCTGATTGATGCATTTACAAACCTTTAACTAGACACAGAGTGCTGATTGGTGCATTTAGAATCCTTTAGCTAGACAGAAAAGTTCTCCAAGTCCCCACCCAATTAGCTAGACACAGAGTGCTGATTGGTGCATTTACAAACCTTTAGCTCGACACAGAGCACTGATTGGTGCATTTACAATCCTTTAGCTAGAAAGAAAAGTTCTCCAAGTTCCCTACATGATTAGCTAGACACAGAGCACTGATCAGTACATTTACAATCCTTTAGACAGAAAAGTTCTCCAAGACCCCACCTGACCCAGAAGCCCAGCCAGCTTCACCTCTCAGAAGGAAGGTAGTGTACAAATACGAAGTCACTTCTCAGAAGGAAGGTAGTGAAGGAATACGAATTCCTTCAAAGACAAATCTCACACACACACACACACACACACACACACACACACACGCCAGAAAAATGGAGAGTTTTGCTCAAGACAGCATACTTGCTTTACTAGTGAGAAGTTCTAGGTTAAAAAATCCATTCGTGTCATGAAAATAGTATGCAATTCAATGGGAAAAGGGTGGGTGAGTTGGCTTTTCCTGGGCTGATCACACAATGGCTCCAGGTTGACTTTTGATAAGGAACACAGCTGAGTTCAATGTTCTTGTTAGATAGAAGTCTAATGGATCAGCTCCTGGAAACTTTTCTACCCTAATCTGCCCAGCTTGTTTATTTTCAAACCTATGTACCACTCTTTTAGGCAGGTTTCCAGGAAGATCATCTGGAGATGAGTTTATTTCCAGCTTCCTCCCCTTATAATAATGTCCAAAAAGAAACTGACTAAACCAAAGAGGTTGTATTTTAAGCATCAACTACACCTTTTTCTGGGAATTGCATATAAACAAAGAAACATTATTATGTTGCCCCAGCCCTGTGCTTTCACATGTTGTCTCTTCCAAGTTATATCATTTCAAAATTTACCTAGTTATTATTTGAATTATTCCAACATGTATGTATTATGCTTATTCTTTTCAAGAATGTTAGGGTTTTTTGTACCCAGAAGTGAGAGATACTTCTGGTGAATGTAAAGGTATTGTGGGCTGCCCAAGGGGAGACTGTCACCAAGTTCCTGGGCCCACTGAACAAAAACATGTCCTATCTCAATTCAGCTTCCTAATGAGACGGAGATAGATTTCTTCACTGATTTTTACTATTCCCAATTTTTACTCTTTCCAATATAGCAAATGCATTATCTACTTGGGTATTAAACTACAATTGGATACTTTTTAAACATCTGCTCATTCTCTGCTTTTATGAATGAAAATAATTGACTCTGTAACCTGAACAGCAGGATATGCTTTTATGCCTTACCTGGAGCCAATTTGTACTGGGAAGAATGTTTTTGTGTTTCTCTTAGGAAAGCTGTGTTAAATTAAATGGAACACTCCTTTCCAAATGAATTTGCATACAAAATTTAATAATGGCAAATGGTATTCTGTGGCATAAATATGGGGAAATATTGCTTACATATATCAATATCCTAGTATGATTTATTCTGCTTGTATACAGTCATCAGTATGTACTCATTGTCTTCATTGTTTCTGGCAGAAGATGTGCCTCTATATCTAGAAGTAGCTGCAAATTATCAAGATAGAAGTTAAAAATAAGAGACGTCAAACCGCCATATTTCATGCTGTTCAGTATTTTGATCCTTTGAAGAGATGTCACATACAGGTTTAGACCCATTTATGTGAGGCTGACTTACTCACCCATCTTAATTAAGACCATCATCAGAAGAGATATCCTGGACTTGTCAAAGCAATTGTTTTTCCTTCACATTAACCCTTGAACTGATGTCTGCCAGCCCAGTGAATGTTAAATTGAACATTGGTATTTAGGAGTATCAGAAAGACTTTCACATTCTACATAGTATTTCTTGATGTCATGAAGATACCAAAATGTCCTATTAATCGTTGCTCAAGAAGGACTTCTCTATTCATTTTGTATCAATGAATCATTTATACATTGAGACAGATTTGTCTTGCTATGCTTGAATAAACTTGGATCTTGCCTATGTGGCTCTTGATTGGGAAGGTCTTTCTGGGTAGAGAGAAAGCCCCACTTAGATCAAAGAGAGAGTATATAAGGGGAAACAGAAAGGAACTTGCTAAAATTTAAACTTAATTTTGAACATCTGATTTGCATCATAAAATCAGAAATACACTCCATCTTTGTGGGGATGTTAGATTGACTGTATTGATCAGCAAGAGACAAGTCTCTGAGACCCAGATTTTGGAAAGCACAGTCCAGGCAAGTGCTTCAAATGTTATAGGCACTTGGATCCATCTGGGTGGGTCTCAGTAACATCACTTTGCAAAGTTCACATAGTGAAAAGTAGCCAATGGTGTGCACCACTGAGTGAGGATGCCTTGCCACGTGTTCCAGTCTTAGTCATGTGACTTCATGGGAATGATCCTAGCTAAATGGGTCCCAAGTAAATATTCTGTTTGCAGAAGGTGAATACTTAATTCTTTATTGATATACTGGGAATACACTTCTATTAGAAGAGTTGTCTGCATTCACACTCAGATCCTAACTCTGTGGGGTGTTGGTAGGAGAGTAACAACTGCTCACCTGTTAAATTGTTTTTGGTAGATCCATATGCTGTGGTTGAGATATCTGGTTCAGGACAACATATCAGCCTTCAACTACCTCATCACAACACTGGCCTTCCTTATCTCCCCTGAAAAGGCAATATTAAGTCTATTGTCCAGCCTTCACAAAAGAGTTGTCTAAAGGTTAAGCACTCTGTTAATGCTTCTACCCAAGTTAAACGGATAGAAGCTTCATACTTGGGTTTACAAATTGCCTAAACTGGATTGCATTTTAAGGTTGTGCCCTTGGTTTCTAGGGAGGAGACGCTAGTCTTGCTTGTAGGACTCCAGTTAAGTTTAGTGTGTATGACATCACTCAGCATTTTCCATATGAGGCCCCACCAGCCTGATTTCCTTGAGAAATTAGCACAAGAAAAATACATTCGCTTCCCCTGAGGAACTAGTATGTTTCTTCTCATCTAATAATAAGAACTATGCAACTGACCATATCTCCCCTCTTTTGCTTTGACTGCCCGGGGCGAAGAGCCAAATTTAACTATGTTTGCAACAATGTAAGCCTATATGGGCCTGTGTATTTGCATCCTTGTATCACCTGCTTCTTTTCTTTCTTTCTTTTTTCCTTTCCTCATTAATACATTTGTTTAGTTTTACCTTCATCAATTACTCTGAAAAAAATAGGCAGAGTTATATATTAATAATAACTTAAAAAGTAGAAAATGTTTGGTAATTTTCAAAATAAAGATGGTTTCACTTTAGAATGATTATTGGCCTATTTCTAATGTCAACGTTATGAATTCATATTAATAAGGTTGTATATGATGTTTCTTTTAAAGTACTATATATTCGTACTAACACAGATGAAACAAAATAAAACATACAAACATACTTTTGTCTTTGAGTTGATTTAAGTTTCAGAGATTTGGCAATTCTACCTCTGACAGACAAAAGAGACTATTTGGAAAACAAAACCAAAACTGATGTAGAACATACAGTCTATGCATCTACTATCAGAGAATGACCTCTTTGTTTTAAAATGGACAATGAAAAATGAGTTATTTACATTAGCTGCACTTTGTTAATATGCTGATACCATGAATGAAAGAAGACTGTTGGTTGAAAATCTAAAAAATGGTAAAAATTCAGTCATTGTAATGGCCTAGTTTCAAATATCACAAGGCAGGTTTCGGGGCATTTCCCCCACATTGTCACTCTCTTCTTTTTTGCCCCACCACTGTTTTACACAGAAACCTTTTTTGAAAAAAAAAAAAAAAAAGTACCTCTGTTTGCATGGTACTGCATAGGCCATCAGAATCATGCAATAAAAAGTGGGCACTATTCGTAAGACGGGGGTTGAACATGTTTGAGTTTTAAAGAACCTAAAACTAGTTTCAAAACAAACAGGACCCTGTGGATTTCGCAGAACCTTTACAGATGGTAAAACTAAATGGAACAATAGATTGAGAGCCAGGATTCTGGGAGAAGGTAAGCAGGACCCAGAGATTGTGAAGGGAGAGCGGAGGAGAGGGCTCCTGAGAAAGATTTTGCATTGATGGAAAAATAGAAAACAAAGCTGTTGGGTAACATCCTCTGGACATGCATGAGTGATCATATAATAGCAATGTTTTCTTTCTGGTAATGGACTGTCCTCTTTTGTATTTAAGAAGTTAAAGACTCTCTTAAGGAGACTCTCTTGTTGGTATGCTGGGAATAAATTCCTATGAGAAAAGTTGTCTGTGTTCATGCTCAGAGCCTAACTCTGAGGCGGTGGGAGGAGAGTAACAGCTGCTCACCTGTTAAATCGGTTTTGGCAGGTCCCTATGCTGTGGTTGAGATATCTGGTTCAGGACAACATATCTGCCTTCAACTACCTCATCACACTACTGGTCTTCCATGTCCCCACTGAAAAGGCAATATTAAGCCATCTAATGTCCAGCCTCCACAAAAGAGTTGTCTAAAGGTTAAGCATTCCGTTAATGCTTCTATTCAAGCTAGACCGATAAAAACTTCATTCTTGTGTTTACAAATTGCCTAAAGTGACTTAAACATAGAGGAAGACCGCCACATTGGAAAATGACTCATGGTTTGGTTGAAAGAGCTGAAAGAAATGGAGAAAAGGAAATATGTGAAACTGTTCTGTAGGTTATTTCAATGAACCTAGAGATGTGTATTTTAGCTTCTTGTGCACTATCCAGAAAGCTGTGCTTGTGGATGCATCAGACCTCATTTTTCTTTTCTTACATCTTTTGAAAAATTTGATGCTTACTATGATGGAACCCTGGGCATTTCCAAGCTCATCCTTCTCTGAGTTCGAGTTTGTAAAGCACAACTTAGGTGTTTCTCAGGTTCTTTGTTTTGTTACCCAAATGGGTGAGAAAGGACTCACCCTGTGCTCTCTCTTCCATCACCACAGTCTCGTGCTATCCAGTAGCCTCCTCTTCTGCACAGGCCAGAGTGCAATCTCACCAGTATGGAAAAGGTGCTGCCAGGCTCCCAGAGGCAGGGATGTTATCCTTGTCATAGCTGGAAAAGAGCAAGTTGAGATTGGAACCATGAAGTGTTATTACAAGTCACCAAGTTCATGTGTAAGTAATGAGAAAATCACAGAATCTCCATTTAATAAGACAAGTACCAAATCCCTCAGAATAGAGTGCATTTCATAGGAAACTGATAACCAGATCCTCCCACACCCAAGCAATTAAAATAAAATAACCTCCTTCCTGCTTCCCAATCTCACACACCCTCACCCTCAATCAAACTGAAGTTGAAAAAGTACTTGTATAAATTCTGGCTACATAGCATTGAATATCCTCTCTCAAGTTATGGGAACTTCTGGAAATAAAACACAATGAATTCTTGTATAGAAATATATACAATAACCACAAGAACCCACTCCCACTATTCTTCCCTAATATAGGGTCTAAGACTGGAATCAATGGATATAGAAAAACTGAACATAATGCCTATTTCTAACCTGTGGATCATAATTTTAATAACAGATGCTATTTAATACCTTTCTATGTACGCCCCCCCCCCGAAAGAAGCTAAGAAAATTTCCAATGAAAAACACACTCATTGTATGAGCAGTGGACCTGATAAGGTTTGGAACCACTTCCTCTTCTTGTCCACAGCTTTAAGTCTTATTTGCATATTTCTGTAAAACTAGAAAAGAATAAAATAGGATGAGGCAATCTAGATATATTTGAAATGTTTATAAAACAAATCTTCTTACAACAAATCATTTACAACACCCATGGATCAGGTCACACACCGAACCCCTTCTTCATCTGCCCATAACCTGAAACCGAACAATGGAACCGCATCTGCCGAGTCCGCTGTGAAGAGGGCTGCTTCCAGCACAGCCTCATTTTATTGTCAGGGCTCAACTCTAACTGGCGTGGACACAGCAAACCATGACCAGTTGAGAATGCTGCCTCCCTATATATAATTCGGTGGATGGGTCCAGCCCTGTAGAGCCGAGAAACTAACGCAGTGCAATGACTGGACATTATTAGTGCCCAACCTGTGATCATCCACCTCCAAGGTGAGGCTCAGCTCCTGAAGCCTCTAGAAGAGACATCAAAAAACAAAATGAAATTCTCCACCGTTTACAGGAAAATAAGTGCTGCTGATCACAGGACCAAAAGGATGGCTGGGTAAAGGTAGAGAAAGAATACGGGGCTTAATGTTCACCAAGACAAGAGGAGTAACTCAGGCCGGGGCACAGAAACGATCTCTGAAGCAAACACTCCAGTAAGCGACAAGGCCCATCCGTGGAGGGCTGTGGCTGGGCTGCTGCAGTACGTGGGCCAACTCTTCCTCCACGTGGCACCCACACCCCACAGACCTGAGGTGGAAGTGCCCTCCTCACAAGCCCCTGTGGCGTGAGCGTCCAGAAGGCCTACCTGTAGCCAAGTGGATCCTGAGCAGCTCCCAGAGACCCTAGTCCTACCCAGAAGTCCCTGAAGCTCTACTCTTATTCCAGCTCCTGCTCCAGCCGGTCCCATGAGGCCAACTCAGGGCACTGTGGGTGTCAGGAAGAGAAAGAACCCGTAATGGCAAAGATGTTTGTCCTGATCCTCACTTAAGAGAGAGTTCTTTAAACTCCACTGCTTCCGATTGCTCCAGAGCCTTTCTTGGCAAAAATCATCATGTTACAAATGGCTTATCAGTCCTCATGTTACATGGTCTGTCTTGACCTTTCAAACCCTTTCTGGAAACACTGTGTTATACTCTGCTTACAATAAGGGATCACAGGATCACACTGATGAAATAAAGATTATTTCAGATTTACATGTGGTCTGTATTTTAGAGGCCTATTCCAACTGATGCATTTTATGTATGTGTGTATTTATTTATTTAGAGACGGAGTGTTGCTCTATTGCCCAGCCTGGAGTGCAGTGGCACAATCACAGCTCACTGCAGCCTCGACCTCCCAGACTCAAGGGATCCTCTTACCTTTGCCCCATGAGTAACTAGGACTATAACATGCCTGGCTATTTTTTTTTTTTTAATTTTTGTACAGACGGGGGTCCCACCATGTTGTCCACGCTGATCTTGAACTCCTGGCCTCAAACCATTCTTCCACCCCAGCTTCCCAAAGTGCTGGAATTACAGGCATGAGTGGGGGCACCCAGCCTTCAACGGTTGTATTTCAAATAGAACTTAGAAACTTGATTTCCAGTTTCAGGCCCACATCCTATTGGGTCAGTTTTTATGTCTGGTCACGGCTTTTGTTTGTTTTCTACATCTGCTTTGGTTCATTCGAGTTGACATTTATTTCTGTCCTTGAATGTTTTTTGAATAAATTACAGAAAAGGTTTAAAGCATCTCTTAGTATGCTTAGTTCCACAGGATAATCTGATAAAGCATATTATCCTGTTACGGTGTTAGTTTTTCCTGTTGGCTTTTGTCCCAGTGATGCTAACATTTCCAGGGTGGCAGGAGGGGGAGACTGCCCTGTGTCCAACAGAAACAAAAACGTCTAAAGCAACATTCTTTGCAGGTAAAAATCACATAATTTATTTCTTTCTGGGCAGCAAAATATTGATGGCAATACATTGAGAGTCCATCGCGAGGAGGCTTTTTAATTGGGAACTTCTCAGAATTAAGAAGGTTTGTTGAGTGTGTTTGTACTTGGGCTCTATGGTTTTGTTTTCCTTTTTTTTTTGAGACAGAGTCTCGCTCTGTGGCCCAGGCTGGAATGCAGTGACACGATGTCAGCTCACTGCAATCTCTGCCTCCTGGGTTCAAGTGATTCTCCTGCCTCAGCTTTCCGAGTAGGTGGGATTACAGGCAACCGCCACCATGCTCAGCTAATTTTTATATTTTTAGTAGAGTCAAGGTTTTGCCATGTTAGCCAGGCTGGTCTTGAACTTCTGACCTCAAGTGATCCATCTGTCTTGGCCTCTCAAAATGCTGGGACTACAGGTGTGAGCCGCTGCACCTGCCAGACTCTGTGGTTTTAACTATATATTTTTTCATTCAGGTATAGATTTTCTTTTGGGTGCCAAGTATAGGACTAGATGTTGATAATGTAAATATAAATAAGATGTGGCTCCTGACCTCATGTGTTCACAATCAAATAGGAAAGTTCTGAGAAATACAAAAGCAAAGGGTGGTAAGTGTTTTTGGTGAACTTGAATATGATACAATTGAGACTCCAAAGAAGGAATTCAACTTGGGGAGACTGTTATGAAACCCTTCCTGGAGGATCTGAATCTTGACAGGAGCATTTGCCTGGCAGGGTAGGAGTGGGGACATTCCATAAAGGAGATGCAAGAAATCAAAAGAAATGAGTCTGGGGAGAAGGACAAGGGGGACAACAAGAAAGTTTAGTGAGGCCAGCAGGTGGACCTTATGTGCTGGGACACCTTGTAGGTATTTGGGAGATACTGAAGCATTTTAAGCAAAGAAGCAACACTCTGACTTGTGTTTTTTAAAAAAATCAGGTGGCAGGGTTAAAGGAGTGTGTGTTGGATTTTTCTTGTGTTGCTATAAAGGAATACCTGAGACTGGGTAATTTATTTTTTTAATCAAGAGGTTTAATTGGCTCATAGCTCTGCAGGCTGTATAAGCATAGCACCAATATCTGCTTGGCTTCTGGGGATGCCTCAGGGAGCTTTCACTCATGGCAGAAGGTGAAGTGGAAGCGGGCATGTCACATCGCGAGAACAGGAGCAAGAAAGAGCGATGTGCACAACCAGGTTTCATGTGAACCCACTCAGCATGAAGAGGACGGTGCTAAGCCATTCATCTGTCCCCATGATCCAGTCACCTCCCACCAGGCACCTCCTCCAACACTGACATTTCCACATGAGCTCTGAAGGGGACTTCCAAACTATATCAGCATGTGAAGTGGAGACAGACCAGCTCAAAGAATATTCTAATATCTAGGAAAATGATGATGAGAACCTAGATTCAAGCCAGAACAGGGAAATGCACTGGAAGGAATAAGCACAAGAGATTTAAAAGGGGTTTATGCAGAGGTGAGTCAGTGATCGAGGGCTGAGTCTCAGGCTTCCTGGGTGACTTGTGGCACTGGATAACTCACAGACACTGAGTGACAGTGTTTATTCATTAAAACACCAGACATAATTTGCACCTCAGATTCTAAAAGTTAGGTTCTGAGACTGATCTTCGGTTGTTCTGAGAGGATCGCGTCTAAGATGGGTATTTCCATTATTTCTTCTCTTTCATGTTCTTTGGGTTGTCGTCGGTGCCACAGGCAGAGCTGTGTCCCATCAGGAACCTCACTTCTGTCTGCAGCTCCCTCTGTATTTGCAGAGCAGTTCTTCACAGTTTGTTTCAAGTACAAGGATTTTGTCATATGCTCTTTTTCTAGCAGTTCTTTGTCAATTAATATAATTAATTTTTACATAAGTAATTCATGTTTACCTTGAGAAATAAGAGACCTTATAGATGAAAAAGTAAATAAAACTCATTTATGAGTCCACCACCTAGAGAAAGCCCTGGTTAACTTTTTTTTTTTTTTTTTTTTGGTATAGGACCATACAGAAATTGTATATATATATATACCTGTGAAATGTTTATGTGTTTATATAAAAGTGGTATATCTATATGTTTCTTTTTTAGCTGGGTTTTCACTCAAAAATATGTTGTTATTTTATTTCCATGTCAATAAATATACATCCTGAAGCCATTCTAAATGTCTGTGCCATACCTTGTGTATCTATGTACCACAATTAATTTAGCCAGTTTCTCCTTAGATGACAGTTAATGTCCTTGTTTTTACAAAACAATCAACATAGCTGTCAGGTGTGGGATTTGATTTTACCATCCTTGCCAGCTAAAAAGTAAATCTGCTACTGTTTCATGGGTGTTGGTAGAAGACACAAGATGCTGAGTCAGAGACAAAGGGCTTTATTACTACAGTACTACAGATAGCATGAATATCAGAATATACATCGGTTCCCTTTGCTTCCAGACCCCACAGTCGTGATTCAATGGGCCTAGAGAGACGCTTTGCACACAGTGGGTTTGCATTGCAACTGAGGAATACTGAGCTTAGGGAATATACTTCCGCTTTGTAAATGGTAAGCAAGCTTGCTCTTTGTCTCAGTAGGAGACATTACCTCATCCTCCAAGGTTGCTTGCTATAAGTACCAGCCTGGGAAATGGCCTTGGTAAAGTGGTAAACGATGGTACATTCTTGCCATATCCAGCAAGGTGTGTTGTAACACAAGAGATTTATCTAGGGCTACCTCCCAACAATAAGCATCCTTGCCTACGTATCCTTAGGATAATTTCAAAGGAGTGAAATTACTGGACCAAAGGGTTTGCACTGCCATAGACTTTCTGTAAGACTTTCTAATTGTAATGTAATTACCAAATTACCATCTAGAAACTTGCTCCTGCAGGTTTGCTTTCTCACTTGTGTTCTGTAAAATAACTCTAGCTTTTCACTTACTAACCCAGGAATGGCCTCTCTCATCTGAGCGCTCAGATCCATGTTGGCATTCTCTGCTTTTCCGGAGATATGTCTCATTTGTATTAACAGGGAGGGTATTTAGCAGAGCCATTTCCTGATTGGTGTCAAGCTGAAAATAGATTGCTTGCCCCAGGTTGGTGGAAACAGGAATGCTTAGAAATAACATTGCCTCTCCTCCTCTGCAGCAGGTCAAGTCTCTTCCTACTCATGA